GTATCCCAGGACAGGCCTTCTCCCACTGCCCTGCCCCAGGCCAGACCCCATTCTCTGCTTCCCTGGGTATGGGGTTCAGGGGCTCCCAGGCCCTGCTGACTCTGCACAGCACTCATGGGGAGCCGGCTGAGCCTGTGCACGCTGCAGAGGAAATTCCATGTCATCCTCCCTACTATACAGGTTTGACTGCTCAGTCCCGGCCACACTTCCCTATCTGTAGGCAGCTCTCAGAAGTATAGGGGAGCGAGCCCAGGCTTCGCAGCTGGGCCAACCCAACCACTTAGGAGTTGTGCGATTTTGGAAAAAGTTATTCAAGCTCTCTGATTTTCCATTTCCTCAGCTGAAAATCAGAATGAGAACACCTGTTGGGAGGAATAACTGAGCAAACAGAAAGTGAAGGGGTGGCACCTACTCTTCCCTGTTCCCTCTTCCTGCCTGGCAGACATTCATGATTTCTCTTGCCAAGACTCTACCCATCTGTCATGTATTTTGCTATGGAGTTCCCTGAGGTCCCTGAGCCCCAGTTCGCGCATTTGAAATGGGAAAAACAATACTTATCACACTGTTCTTAGGGTGAAAACAGACAAGGGTCCTTGTGATTGGATCCCTCCCAAACACCCTCACTCTAGCTAAGGCCTCATTTAGACTCACCGTGGTTCCTCACACCACAGGGCCTTTGTGCGTGCTGCTCCCTCTGCCCGAAATGCTCTTCCTTTTTAGGCTGGATTAACTCTCATGCATTCTGACGCTCTCAGCTTGAGCCCCTTCCTCAGGGAAGCCCTCTTCTAGTTCCCTGACACCTTACTGTAGGCTTTCTCTCAGGGCATGCATTTACTGCTGTGATCATTTGATCAATGTCGTTCCCTCACTGTATCGTACGCTTAGGAAGGCAGGGGGTGTGTCTAATTTTGGTTTCTTGCTGTGGCCTGAACCCAGCCTAGTGCCTGGCACACAGCAGGTGTTCCCACAGTGACTACTGCTCTGATCATGGTGAGGCTGCAATGCAAGGGTGAGGAGGCTGCCGGACTTCCCAGTGGAAGGGGATCGGCCTCAGTGGGTGAGGAAGGAGGACAGGTTCCCAGGCCTATGGGAATGAGATGGGTGTCTGTGTCTTCACCCAGGGCCTCACAGTCCACATTGCCCTCCCATACGCGCTGAAGGTCTGAGCTTACTCAAGAGCTCTTATAGCAGAGCCGTGCCCTACCCAGTTTGCCCCTTCTGGTCTGCCTGACCACTCCTTCTAGGGCTGGCCAGGGCTGCTGGGGACGGGGAGGAGCCAGGTGGAGGTGAGCTGTGGTTTGGGTTCCGGCCTAGCAGAGGAAGTGTTTCCACCTTTAAAGGGCCCCTTCCTCTGCCTCCACCCTAGCACCTCAAACAGTGTTTGGGGCTACCGTGGCTGGTGGATCTGGGGCAGTGGGCCCTGGGAGCCTCTCAGAGGAAGCCAAGGCAGAGCAAAAGCAGGTGGGCCCTGCCACCCGGAAGAGGGCAAAGCGCTGTGGAAATACGGGGGCACAGGTAGGATTGTGTGCTCCGAAGCCCTCGCTGGCCGTGCCGAGGAAGTGGCTGGCGGTCCACGCAGGGGGGCCTCCTTGCCATCCACCTTTGGGCTCCCAATGGCCTCTCCTCCCAGCCTTCTTGCAACACCTGCAGTGTGAGGGCCAGGTGGGCCCACTGTATGGATGAAGAGGGTGAGGCTCAGTAAGAGGGTCCCACTTTACCCCTGAGTGTCTGCCCCTTGGCTGGGAGTGGCAGGATGCGGGTGGCCCAGCACTCACTGCCCAAGCACTCGGCTCACCGGCTGCCCTTGGGGACCACAGCTGAGGGGAGCTGTGGGGGCTCCTTGCCCATCACAGCCTCACTCACCCCCAGGCTGGCCCCATGGATGGAGGAGGCCTTTAGGTATGACCCAGCCACAGCCAGGGCCGCTAGAACTGGGCACCTCCAGGGAGCCTTGGGGCCGAGGACCCCAAGAAATTGTGTTCAGCTCTTTGCTTGGACACTGAGTTGGCTTCTAGCTTTTTTAGGTTAATGTGACAGGGACTCGGCAGGGCATGGCAACGTGGCTATAACCAAGGCTGATGATGAGCCTGATGCCCCAGGTGGTCTCCAGATGGTAGCTGACCTGATTGGCCAGTGTCCAGGCCAGATCGATGGCTGAGTGTTCTGGGATCACCACAGGATGCCATCCCATGGACCTCTCTCAGGTAGCTGCTCCTGGACCCACTCCCATTGCAACCCCAGCGTGAGCTCCCCTGCCTGCCTCTCCCTTCAGGCTGGGCCGTCTCTTCTAGGAATGTTGTCTGGCTCCTCTGACCTCAGCGGGCTCCCCTCCCCCAGGGGCCCCAGCACGTAGTCTTCGCTGCCTTTACTTAGAGGCTGTCCTAAGGGCAGCAACAAACCTGTGCCCATGGCTCCCCTTCCTAAGCACACCCAGGCCCCGCAATGTGCATCCCACCCCACACGCTTGCACCAACCCCCAAGAGAGGGAGGGGGTCCCCTTGATGGATGCAGCAGCTGAGGCATCAGGACAGAGCCCCACTGCAGTCACACCTGCCTCCAGGACTGGCTTACAAAGGGCTTTCTGCCTGCAGTCTCCTGCTGCTTCCATTACATCCTCTGAGGATGGCAGGGATGCCAGCACGACCCTCATTTTGGACTCGAGGAAGGGAAGCACAGAGACGTTAAGCAGCTTGCCAGTGTCACACAGCCAGCGAGGAGTGGAGCTGGGACAAGGCCTCAGTGGTCTTCCAGTGACTCCTTTGCTAGTGCTCTCCCCACCCAAGACCCTACCGGGGCTAGGCAAGACACAGAGGGCAGAGTTGGAGGGAGGGGACATGCCCCAGAGGGGCCTGAACTTGGGTGTGAGAGTGGAGGCACTGGGAGGGGGCCTGCTGCAGGGATGTCCACGTGCCTTCTCTCTGGGAAAGGTGGGAAGGTCCTGGGCCAGGCAGAGCCCGGCCAGCACTGGCCACAGCCAACAGCACAGGGGAAACTCCAGTCACAGGCTACTTACCTTCTGTAGGCAGAGGCAGCAGCAGGAGGGGAGCGAGAGAAAAGGCAAAGATGCAGATGGTTAGCAGTCTGTGGCTCTTCCAGACCCCACTCCCGGCAGTGGTCTCTGGAAGTGCCACCCTCCCCCTGCCTGAGGTCTCATCCTAGCCCAGCCTGCTGGGAAGGTGTGGCATGGCTGGACACAGTGAGGTCTCAGGCTATCAAGACCCTCGCCCACTGCCTGGCCCATACATTGGGTGGCTGGGGAAGATGGGGGTTTGGAAGTGTCATGGCCGGCGAGGGGCTGCACCTGAGGGGCTCTCGCCCTGGTCCCACTCACCACAGTGGAGTCCACCTTGGGGCCGCCGTCATCTGCCACCACTGTCAAGGTATAGAAATCGCCCTTCTCACGGTCCACCAGGCCCTGTACTGTGATCACACCCTGCAGGGAAGGGGTCAGATGGGTGAGTAACAACATCGCACCCTTGTTAACCCTGGTCCTTCTGCCCACTTTCCCACCTCCATGTCACTTCCTCTGCCCGGTATAACTTCCCCACGACACTCTGTCTGTTGAATGCCTTCTTCTCTCTCACATTCCACTGGGAAGCCACCTCTTCCATGGAGCCTTCCTGCTTCCCCAGCCAGGTATGACTGCTGGGCCCTGAGGGGCTCCACTACCCCTCTGTTGTAGTTCTCTGCACATCTTCCTTTGGTGCTCTCTCTGATTTGCATCCTGGATTATTTTCATTTCCACTTCTAGCCTGAGAACTCTTTGAGGGCTGAGAAGGCTCTTGTTCATCTTTGTGTCCATTTGTGTTCCCAATATCGTCTAGGACAAGGCCTGTCACGTTGTAGTGATTCACACCTTGCCTACTTTCAAAGAAGGAATTCTGATACAAGATACACTGAAGCAAAGATGGAGGAGTAAGAGCCTGGCAGTAGATAAGAGACTGGTGCACCAGACAACTAGCTAAGAATAGTTATTGTAATGAAGCCCAACATTTGTATCTGAGCTTCCTAACAGCCAAGGTGAAAAGGGAAATAAGACTTGTAGAGCTTTCTGTGACATTGTGATATAAGAAATATGCATTTGGTCTCTGTCCCCGGTTCCTGGCACACAGCTCTTAATCCCCTGGAGTTTCCTAGGCGATAGAAGTCTTTTGTTCTAATGAGGCAACTCTTGGTGGGCTCCTGGGTTGGGGCTGATCACCAGAAAGACCAAGCCAGGATGAGGAGCTTGAAATGTTCAGCCCCGCCTCCACACCCCTTATTTTCCAGACAGGGGAGAGGGGTTGGAGATTCAGTTAATAATTGATCGTACCTATGTGATGAAGCCTCCATAGACATCCCTGAACTACAGTGTTCAGAGAGCTTGCAGTCTGCTGAACATGTAGGGGTGCCTGGAGGGTGGCATGCCCGGGGAGGGCACTGAAGCTCTGAGCCCCTTCTCCCATGCCTCGCTCTGTGTGTCTCTTCATTCGGCTGTTTGTTGATATCCTTTAGAATATCCTTTGTAATACCTTGGTAATAGTGAGTTAAGTGTTTCCCTGAGTTCTGCAAACTGCTCTAGCAAATTCATGGAACTTGTGGAGGGGGTTGTGGGAACTCTGATTTAGCCGGTTGGTCAGAAGCATGGGTCAAACAACCTAGAGGTTGTGATTGGCAGCTGAAGCGGAGGCAGTTTTGTGAGACTGAGCCCTCAACCTGTGGGATCTGACACTATGGTGTCTGCTGGGTAATTGCTTGGTGTGTGGGAGGGACTGAGCTGTGAGCCTGTGGGATCTGATGCTAACTCCAGGTAGAAATGTTCAGAATTTAATCAAACTATAGGATTCCTAGCTGGTGTCCAGAGAGTTAGATAATTGGTTGCTGGTATGGGGAAAACCCCACACACACTTCGATGACCAGAGGTGAAGGGATCTGTGATGGGTGTGAAAACAGAAGGAAAAACAGTTGGTTTTTCCTACTATAGACTTTCCTTGTCTAGTAACAAGAAGGATACCAGCCTGCATAGGTATAAACTTTATCTTACCCCTACATACGAAAATGGGTGTGTTACAGGGATATTTATTTCAGGGACTTTTTTCTGTTTCTTTTTGAGAGACAAGGTCTCACTCTATTGCCCAGGTTGGAGTGCAGTGGTGCAAACGCAGCTCACTGCAGCCTCCAATCTCCTGGGCTCAAGCAGTCTTCCTGCCCAGCCTCTCAAGCAGCTGGGACTACAAGTACATGACACCACACTTGGCCATCTCAAGGACACTTTATGACAAAGAGGAGAGTGCGGTTCACATAGAAGCAGCTCAACCGATGTTGGTTAGATTGGAAGAAATGGTGCACCCTGCCCCAGTCCCTCACCGTGATGGCATCTATCTTGAAGAGGGCTTTGGCCTGGGTGCTGGTATAGGCGTCGAAGCGGTACGTGATCTGGTTGAGGTTGTCGATGGAGTAGGCTTGGACCCGCACAATCTCGGTACCCAGTGCGAGATTCTCCAGGATGGCAACCTCGTACGAGGCGTTGGAGAACTGCACGGCCTCATCCAGCTCATTGAGCAGAGTGATGTAGACGCTGCAGAAGCCCTGGTTGAAGGGCGGGGCCTGGTCAGTGGCCGACACGTTCATCATGTAGCTGGTCTTGGTTTCGTAGTCCAGGTAATCCACAGTGATGATAAGCCCTGTGCTCTCGTCAATCTCAAACTTCCCCTCTGCGCCCGACAGGATGCGGTAGTTCACCAGGCCACCGTCCCCTGCAGGAGGACACAGAGACTGTGCAGTCCCAGGTAGAACTGAGTGGGGCTGTGCTGTGGCTTCTCAAGCTGCCACACCCATACCCTCTGGGTGGCTCACCCAGCATGGGCTGCCCCACCTCTGTGGGAGGGATCATCCCCAGAGATGAGGCAGAGGATGGGTTAAGGTCAATGTGGATGGCAAGATCCAGCATGCACTGTTGAGCCTTCCTCTGGGGCTTGGCCTTGGCACTAGATATATGACAGAGGGAGTTGGGTCTGCTCCTGGAGCCTCAGAATTCAAGCTCATGTACCTTCCTTTGATATCTGGACATACAAGGGTTGGGGAAATGAAGGATCTCTTGTCGTGGAGGCTTTGATCTAGAAAGCATCCTCACAGGTGGCCAAGCCTTGGTTTGGTCCCTTCGAAAGAAGGGCCTCAGTGTCAGGGACACCTTCCCCCATCGTCCCCACTCCCTACACCCCAAATTCCTGTGCCTTGAAACAAACCATTCAATCAGGAGCTAGAGCTGGCATTCCAAAACTGAAGTTCACAGACCTCAAGGGGAGGTCAGGGAAGGGAGTGGTCATCAAACCACTCTGGGAATCCAAGACTTCCTTGGAATTACTTGGGGACTCTGACTGGATGTGCATTTTCTGGGGAGGGGATCCCTGACATAGAAAAGGCCACAAACCATGGGGCCGTAGCCGCGTATGTGCCCTAAACTCTACTAACGTGCCTGAGACTCCGCCTGAGAATCTGCAGCCATTTCTCCCTCCACCCCATCCCATGCGTGCCACAGATAATCTGAGGATGCTGAGAGAGGGGTTAGGGGTCACCTGAGTAGCTGACATGAAGGATGAGCAGCTCAGGGAGCCTCTCTGGGGGACGGTGGGTCCCCAGAAAATGCTCCTTTTCAGTCATATCGCTGACTGAGGCACAGGCCAGACAGCCCAGGCCGCACAGAGGGCCACAGAGACCCGGCATGCTTCCCCTTCATTTTGCGCTGCCGGCTGTGGCTCTAGGGCTTGGACCCTTGGCAAGGTTCAGGCTGCCTTCAGGCTACTGCCCTGTAGCACAGAAAGGCACTGTCCCTTGCACAGGGTCAGGGGGGGCTGTGTGTGCTAGGCCCTGAGCTGGTCCTGGAGGGCATGGAGGGGCTGGAGGAGCAGGCCAGGCCACAGCCAGCTTTCTGATGGGTCCTCTTTACCCCTCCCAACTCTGCTCAGCCCCTCTCCAAAGGCTAGTGGGAGCTGCTGGGTCCTGGGATGATGGAGCTGGACTTCTCAAGCTTGTGGTCTCTCCTCTGTCCACCCAGTGGTTAGGACAACTCTCCCTGATTCCAACCCTCTCAGGCCAGGGCATCTGGTGGGAAGTGATCAAGATCATCCCAGCAGCCCCTCTCTGGCCTAGACATGGCTAAATGAGGAGCCTGAAGCATCAGGGATGACCGTTTCGAAGGAGAGGCTGGGTGAGCCAGGGAGGTTTGCTCTGAGCAATGGGACCCCCAGCTTCCTCCTGCCAGCCTCACCAGAGTCTCGGTCTGTGGCTCGGACCACGATGACTGACGTTCCAATGCCTGCGGTCTCTCGAAGCCCCAGACGGCTGTACTGCTGCTGTGTGAACACGGGGGCCTCATCGTTGACATCCTCCACGTACACAATCACCTGCGGGAGCCGGGCCAGGGGTGCAAGGTCAGGGCGGGGTGCCCAGGGAAGCCCAGGGCTTGGCCCACTGTGGCCAGCTAATGTGGTCACTGCTCTCCTGGGCCTGCTATGAGCTCCCTCTGGGGCCCGGGGCCTGTCTGGTGTGTCACTGTGTCCTACCACCTTGCATAGCACCTGGCGTGTGGCAGATGCTCAAACATTACTTGTTTTGGAATGAACTTCATCTTGCTCTTGGCTCTTTGACTAACGCTGTGGGAACGTCTGACTAATTAGTGACCCTTTGGGGCCACCAGTTTCCCAGCTATGAAGTGGTAATATTAAGATAATAATTCACACTCCAGGCCACTCCTAAGGTTGTTATGAAGACAAATGAGCCAGGGCCTGCAAAAGTTCTCAAAAAAATTCAAAGTGATCACAATCAAATATCAAAATATATCTTGGAGAATACAGGTTAAAATACAATGGCAGTTGTAGTAGAGAATGTCAGTGCTCAGCACTCTTTACAATTCTTGTGCACCTTCTCACCGCCAGCTCCCAGACCCTCAGGCTCTTTGGGGAGGACCAACCCCACCTCACTGCACCCACACCCAGGCTGCTGGAAACCAGCCCAGTGAGCAGAAATGCCTGGGAACTTCCGTCCCTTAGGGCAGCCCTGAGCCAATGATTGATGGGCGTGGAGAGCAAAGACTCCACCTTCCTTGGCCCTGTTTGGGGCAGTGAGGGGATGCTTTAGGGCTCCCTGGGGGATGGAGGCCTAGCTCCCTCCATGCCACTTTGCTGGCTGTTTTTCCTTTCTGGTCACACCCTGTTCCACCTTTTCCTGTGGGCGCTTCTTACACATTACTTTCACACCAATCCTTGTTTCAGGGGTTTGCTTCTGAGGACCCCACCCAAGGCAGTGGCTGTTTCTGAATTGTGCAATTACACATCATTTTCCTCACCGCTTAACAGCACTTTCTAAGTCCTCTTTATGAATGTGTGCATTGTACATCATGAACATAATACAGTTTAGAAGGTGTTTATGGAGGTCAGGCATGGTGGCTCTTGCCCATAATCCCATAAATGTGGGAGGCTGAGGTGGGGGATCTCTTGAGCCCAGGAATTCGAGACCAGCCTGGGTACCATAGTAAGACTCTGTCTTTGCAAAAAATACAAAAGAAATTAGCCAGGGGTGATAGCACGCACCTGGAGTCCCAGCTACTAGGGAGGCAGAGGCAGGAGGATCGCTTGAGCCCAGGAGTTTGAGAACAGCCTGGGCAACATAGTGAGACTCTGTCTTTAAAAAAAATTAGCCGGGGGTGGTGACACGCATCTGTAATCCCAGCTACTAGGGAGGCTAAGGCGGGAGGATTGCTGGAGCCCAGGAGTTTTTAGCTTTTAGCTCTTTGCTCTATGCTGTGGTGAGCTGGCCCCAGAACAGGAGAGGCACCCTTTTCCCAGCCAAACAGAGCCAGGGCCGGTAGGAACTTGCCAGCAAAGTGGAGAGGGGAGCAAATAGGGAAGGGGCTGTGACTCTCCATACAGACTTTGCATGTGGTGACCAGCACTAAGGGAGGGGCCGGCGGCATGTGTAGCAGAGGCGTGTGTGTCTGGCACCTGGTCACTGCCTCTGGGATCAGCCCTGCTTTCTCTTTGGGGATTAGCTGGGAATCAGCTGGAGAAAAGTGACACAGCCTCTGGCTGGTAGAAGCCAAAAACAGCAGCCTGACCAGTGGAGGACTCCAGGGTGGGGAGGGTGGCAGGGCTGGGGGCGAAGAGGCATAGGTGGGTAAAAGTTTCTCTGCATCGCTGCTCCTAGGGTTCTCACAGCTCTGCTGTGTCATTAGAAGTTTCATGTCCAGACACCCAGAACCCACTATGCAAACTAACACGTCCACTCCAGAGCGCAGCTGTTCACAGGCTGGAAACTTCTAAATTTGGCTTCACCCAGAACTTGGCTGGGGAAGATCCTGGGTAGGGTGGGTGCGGGGGGAATTTGCATGGATGAATTTCGGGAACTCTTTCTGTAAACAGAAACTAACCACTCCTCTTTCAAAACTGTGGGCCTTACCCTTCCTGAATCTACTTGTCCAAATGACCTTGACTCCAAGAGTTGTGAGGAAAAAACAGGGCCGGGCTGACAGTACAATGACAAGATGAGAGAGGTGGCACGGAGCTGGGGTGTGGCCTGTCCTCCATGAGTCTGGCTACATGCCACCATCCTCTGGTTGGTTTCAGCCTTGTTTTTAGCAGCAGAGACAGGAGGAGGCAAGATGGTTTGCGAACTTGAGAGGCACAGATGTACAGGAAGCAGAGGTCTGTCAGGTTCTTGCTGAGCAAGTGGGAGCTACTGCGCTTCCTGGAGAACCAGACCTGCTTTCTGTCCAGTGCTGTGCCTGTCCAGTGCTGTGCCAGTGCAGTGCTGTGCCTCAGTTTCCTCATCTGTAAAATGGGGTGTTAGTGGTTAGGAGGACAGGGAGAGGAGGTGTGCGTGGGCATGTGTGTGTGTTTGAGTGTGTATGTGCCGTGTACACCCTGAGACACCCAGTCTCTATGGGGACTGTCTCACTCTGCACTCCCTGGCCCCTCACTGGGGCTGTCCCCGGTCTCTGAGGCAGGAACTGGAGGATGTGGATGGTTCCTGCAAGCTGTCTGTCCCCTGCTGCTGGGAAAGTGAATCCAGCGGAAAGCCAGAGTCCCCACATTGCCTGCAGGAAGGTCCCCAGCTCTCCCGGGTCTCACAGCTGTGGAGGCTGTGTGCTACAGTGCCACCAAGTCCCTGCCCCAGGGACCAGCCCCCAAATTCTCACCTTAAAATTACCCTGAGGGGATGAGGCAGTGGTTTCCGACTGGGCTCTGAAGAGGCTTGTGTGAGGCAGTGGGGTGTAACGGTTAAGGGGACAGGCTTGAGCTGGCTGCCTCGGCATGAAGCCTGGCTCCACCCTTACCGCTGTGTGACCCTGAACAAGTCGGCGAATTCCTCTTTGCCTCAATCATGTTATCTCTAAAATGGAGGTATTAACAGTGCCAACTTCATAGGGCTATTATGAAGGTTACAGAGGTTAAAGTACACGAGGCATTTAGAAAAATATCCGGCACGTGTGAGGGTTTATTATTCCTCAGGGTTCACGGGGACAGGGGCAGGAGGTAAGTAGCTGAGCGGGTGTGGCTCTGGGAGCCCCACCCCTGCACTGATCGTCACAGCCTGGCTTCGATCTGTTTTACACCGTACCCTGGGATGCTGCGTATCATTTTGTTTAAACAGAAGGTTTGTGGCTAAAAGAGGTTTGCAGCCACGATGCCGAGGCATTGATGGGAGCAGATCCTGGAGACAGGCGCCCACCACGCCTCGGGGAGGGAGTGGGGAGTGAGGGCCACGTGGAGGGCTGTGTTAGGAAGTCTGAAGTTTAGAGACCCAACCCCAGCTTCGCTGACATCCGTCACTCTGTGGCCTGAAGTGGGCCCCACACAAGGCAGGCTCGGATGAGGGCGTACTGACCAGCCCACGAATGAGACTCACAGTTATGCAGGCCAGCATGGCTGTGTGCATGTCCAGGTCACTGTGTCTGAGTCTCCATCATCAGGGCCCTGTAAGAACCAGGGGATCTGACCCCCTCAGCCATTTCCACAGGGCAGGTCTCACTCAGGGCAGTTGCAAAGACCCAGGTTTCTTCCCAGCACTTCCTGGGGCAAAGCCTTGGGGGTGTCAGCAGGAGCTGGGTCAGGGCTGAGTCACCTGCCTCAGCACAGCCCCTGTGCAGTCAGACCCATCGTGTTTGTGATCGTGAGTACCCGGTGACCACTGCTCATTGTTTCCAGCCTGGGGGAAGCAGGGGGTGGAGACGGGGCTAAGAAGAGGAGCGGGGCGCTCCGTTCTGGGTGAAAGTCCCTGCTTGCTCCGCCTGACTCTTCCCATCTCCCTCCTACTCCTAATGTCCGGGGTCTGACTCACTGGTTTAGGGGAAGGGGCTGGGGGCCGCTGAGTGTTCAGGGGTGGGGGTGAGGTGGCCTTGAGAGGTCATCTCAGTCATCCCCCTGCTGGCGGTAGTGCACATAACACAACCAGAGGGAGCATCTGTGTGTAGGTTTTCAGCCATTCGGGAGGACTAAGGCTGATTTGATTTTGGCTGCGCAGGTGAGGCTGGGCAGAAAAGAATACATTTGATGAGGCAGCTGGGAGAGGTGACTGGAATATGTTAGGGTCACTTTCATTGGAAAGGGCACTGAACTTGGATTCAGAAGATGGGGGCTCCAGTCCTGATTCTATCACTAGCAACTTCTCTGTGCCTCAGTTTTCTCATCTGTAAAATGAGGTTGGCATCTGTACCTCCAAGATCACCCATGTGAGATTTCCTTGACTTACCCTAGAGAGCTCTGTGGATACAGGGGTTAGTACAGTAAGGATACCTCTTTCATCCCTTAGGACAGACGTCATTATCACTGACTCCTTTCCACAGCTGGAGGAACAGACTCAGAGCAAAATGACAAGTCCAAGTCCCAGGCTGGGCACCTGTCACCGAACCCTTAGCCCCAGATGTCATTCAGCTCCTAAACCTGGTGGTGGCCCTGCCCACACCAGGCACCAACTAATGGTCTTCTCTGTTCTAGCGGTGGGCTTGGCCCCGTCCTGAGGTCAGCACCCCAGCCTGCCCCGAGACTCACCCTGACGGAGCTCCGCATGGGGCCCAGGTCGTGGTTGTAGGCCTCCACTATCAGCACGTGGGATGAGTTCTGCTCTCGGTCCAGGGGCCGGGGCCCTCGCATCAGGAGCCCATTGCTGACATGGATTCGGAAGTTGTTGCCATGGTTACCTGTGTGGAGGGACAGACCCCCTGGAAAACCGGCCCTGCCCAGAAGTCTCCTGCTGTGCCAGCCTGCCATGGTTGGGGGCAGAAGTTCCCATGCTCCCTCTTTGTGAGGAGGATGGGGGTCTTCCGGGACACAGAAGTCACAGTGGAGAGGAAGCTGGAGGACTCTGTGAGGTGGCGCAAGGTAGACAGGCCATCCCCAGAGTGGTTCTCCTGCTCCAGGAAGGCCTGCAGCTCTCTCCTGAAAGCCTTCATCTTGGTGTTGATGGTCCCCAGCAGGTGGGGCTCCTGCTGGTCCCCCTCGCCCTGCTCCTACACCCACAGATGTGGGTAGTGTGAGGTCTTTTTAATATTTCAGAAGAAGCTGGGGCACTCCAAAAACAGGGACCGAAACCAAATTCTCCATGGGTGGTTGAATCCAGGATTTAGTGGACATCTCAGTGCTGGTCCAGCACTCATTCCCCTATCTTTTGGGCACAGCACCCTGATTTTCCTTTGGGGATCCACTCTTCTCTACTCTCAGTCCATAACATTTGTGGGCAGTGACTTTACCCCTGATTTGAGAAGTGGGAGGATTAGCACGTTTTATTCCCTGGCCATAGTGATTGGTTCAGGGATGGGCACGAGATTCTGGTTGGACCATTGAGACCCAGTTCCTGGGGAGTGTGCTGCTGGGGGCTGCCCTGGGCTCTGGGCCCTATCTGTCAGGGCCATAGCTTTGGGAAGCTCTGTAGGATACCATGGACTTCAGGAATACGGCAATTAAAAGCCACCTGGGGGTGCGGTGGCTCACGCCTGTAATCCCAGCACTTTGGGAGGCCGAGGCAGGTGGATCACGAGGTCAGGAGATTGAGGCCATCCTGGCTAACATGGTGAAACCCTGTCTCTACTAAAAGTACAAAAAATTACAGGCACGTGCCTGTAGTCCCAGCTACTTGGGAAGCTGAGGCACAAGAATCACTGGAACCCGGGAGGCGGAGGTTGCAGTGAGCAGAAATCACGCCACTGCACTCCAGCCTGGGCGACAGAGGGAGACTCTGTCTTAAAAACAAATAATCAAAAAAGCTGCCCCCTCACCGACCTTGTGTGAATAAGGAGAATGTCCCTGTTTCCTCCCCCTGGCCTTGCCCCACGTGTACAGCCCTGGGGGTTTTCTTGGCTTCATCTCCCAGACCTTTGGAAGCCTAGAGAAGCTCTGCCCTCGCCCAGGCAGGAGGGTGGCCCCCCATCCTAGGGCAGCCTCACTCACCATGGAGGATGCGGTACCACACACGCCCAAACTCGCCCTCGTCCGCGTCTGTGGCTTTCAGCTGAGGGAGAATGAGACACGAGTTACTTCTTGAATGCCACCCAGCAAGGAGATAAGAGGTTTTTAGACCCCCTTTCCTTCCCTTCACGCATCCTACCCCATCCTGCCAAAACCAGTGGTCTCCCACAGAGGCTGGGGGTGTGTCTTTCTGATCCCCATGAGGATGTCCAACCGCTGAAGGCCCCTGTGGCCCTGTCCAGGGCCAGCTCTGCCCCGATCCTCCTTCAGGTTCACAGGGAGGACGGGGGAGAAGGTGAAAGATGGCACTGCAGCTCACTGGGTCGAGATTCTCTCAGGCTGTCCCATCCCTCTACATCCCTACCTGGCAGCCTTTCAGAGCCCAGGAACCTCTCCCAGGGTGGCTGGACAACAGGGTTGCTTCTTGCCCGCATTTCCTTAGCCCGAAGCTATTCTGGCCACACTGGGTCCCAGCCAGCACTGTACACTGTAACGGTCACTTCGTGGAAGCCCAGGAGCCCTCCTCCCACGTGAGTTCACACGCACCATCACCCCAGTCTAGCTTCAGATCAACCCAGCTGGTGTGGCTGCACCTCAGGCTTATGTGTTTATGTGTTGCCTCTGGTGGGCTTGTGTGTGGGGGGGATGTTGTAGTCACTCTGAGACACTGCCTAGTGCTCAGCCCTTTTTACAAGGAGTCCAGCCTCAAGGCTCCCGGCAGAACCATAGCTGACCCCAACGTGAGTCCTGTCAAGCCAACAACTGAATACCTACTTTACCCACTGTCCACCCAAAACAAGTGGAGAACAATCCCCTACTCCCCCAGGGCAATGCAGGAAGAGGCTGGAACCTCCCATGACATGTCATCCTATCGGATCTGTGGTGAATTGCTTTGTAAGACCCTGGGCTCTCCCACTTCTTCTGGGTCTGCCCCTCCTTGTCTCACCACCTCTCACTTCACCCCTGTGGTGTGCACGGGAGCTGCCATTTTCTTCCTGACCCTGCCAAGATGGTCAGAGGGGATTGGTCCAGGACCAGGTGCCTGATCAAAGCTCAGCCAATCGCATCCTTCTCTGGGATTGTTGACCTTGAGCCCAGAGAGATTGAGTCAGTCTTTCTAGCAGTAAAATGTGGGAATGTCAACAGACCCTCTCTTGCACACCCCTGGGCCCCACCTCTCACCACTCTCTCCTCTTAATTGCCCTAGCACACTGGTCTCCTGGCTGTTTCTTGAACACCAAGCGTGTGCTGGCCTCATGGCTTCTGCCCTGGCTGTTTCCTGGCAAGCTCTCCCTCCAGATATTTGCATGTTCATGCCCTCATCTCCTTCAGGTCTTTATTCAAATATCTTCTCCTAAGACCCTCCCTGTGCACTACATATGAAATTATAGCCCCCACTCCAATGTCCTGGACTTTCCTACCCCTGGTCACCCTCTGATACACACTATCTTTGTTTATTGCCTATATCCCCACAGGAAGAAAGGACTTTGTGCACTGCAATATCCCTGGTCTCTGGAACAACAATCCTGGCACACAGCAGGGTCAAACATGTGAATGACTTAGAAGCAGAGCTCCAGGGAGAGGAACTAGGCTGACACTCAGTGAGCACGAATGAAGGACACATACAACACTCAGCCCTGGTTTGCATCCCTGGGCCCAGCTATTCCAGGAGCCCATCTGTGCCTCGCTCCCTGTTTGATTTTTCCTTTGATCCCGTGGGGTATCTCAGTATTGCTCCAGTACACTTCTCCTTCTGCCTAGATTATTATTAATTTTTTGTAGAGACAGGGTCTTGCTATATTGCCGAGGCTGGTCTTGAACTCCTGAGCTCAAGCAATCCTCCCGCCTTGGCTTCCCAAAGTGCTGGGATTACAGGTGTGAGCCACCATGTCTGGCCCTGCCTAAGATAATATAGAATGGATTTCTTTCTTGCCACCCAAAGCCCTAATGCAGGCTTTCCTATCTTTGCTCACTGGACAAACCTGCAGAGAAGATGGGGATGGGTTCCTGCTAGCAAAGATCAAGAAAACAGTGAGGGTGGGATTGGCTGAAGGTTTCCAAAGGAGGGAGCTGGGTTTGGAAGGATGGTGGAAACCTGGCTTAGCAGAGAGAGGTGGGAGGAACATTTGTGCTGGGAAACAGTGTGAGCCGAAGTAGAGGCAGCTGGGGAGGCTGAGGAAGGAACTGGGACCCCAGTCTGGAGTGAAGGGCTCATGCAGGGACAGCAGAGGGCTGTGGTTGGAAGAGTGGAATGACAGCCTCAATCAGCAGCACTGAGGCCCTGGAGCCTCCACAGGACAGCGAACACAGACATGGTGGTATGGAGGGAGAGCAAGGAGCCTGCAACAGGCGCTGGCCTGGTCAGGCTCGATGCACACCTGGACACTGCTGTAAGCATGTCTGAGGATTCTGATGAGCATGTTGACGGTGGGGAGGAGGACCAGTACACTGGAGCAAAAAGAACAAGGGCTCTGGGTCAGGCACACCCAAGCATGAATTTAGGATTTGTCACTTACTCTCTATGGCACCATGGATAAGTACTTTAGCCCCCTTGAGCCTCAGTTTCCTCATCTTTAGACTAGGCACAATGATGACCAACCTTGCAGGGTTGAGAGGAAGATCAGAAGTCATCCTGCAAAGCATCTTGGCTGGTGCCTAGCATGGGGATGTGTGGTAAAGGTTGACATGAGTGATGCCACCTTCTCCAGGGAGCCCTCTTTATTTATGCCAGAGCTGGGGATGGCTGGGTTGCCCCTTGCCTTGCAGTTCTTTCTCTCCCCATTCCCTGAGAAATCTTAGGAGCTGGCAGGTGGAGGGATGTAACAGAGTGCTTCAATTGTCCAGATCTGGAAGGGCTCAGGACTGGGAAGACAGCCATGTTGCCCAGAGCACGCCCTTGCGTGTCTATCCGTGGTGAGATTTCCTTGATGCCTCCCTACTCCAGCAGCCTGCACCACCCTGGAAGCTTTGCCTTCTGCCATCTCAGGAGGAATGGGGGCCACAGATGAAGTGTTCAGTTGGTTTTAGAAGAGGAAGTTAAGGAAAATGAGGGCAGAGAAGGCTGTGATGGGAGGGGCAGGAATCCCAGTGGGGGCTCTGGGCATTGGAAACACGTTTGGGCTGGATGCTTTGCCTACACTGGATGCCTACTGCCTGCCCCTGCCCACCCGGCACAGTGGACACACCAAGTCTCCCACCACTCCCTTGCTGGGTGCCTCTGGGCAGGTCACACCTCTCTGGGCCTCAGTTTGGTCCTCTGAGAGAAGAGGGGGGCTCTTCTCTCAGAAGAGGAGTTAGATGACCCTTGAGGACCGCTCCAGCCCTAACAGCCTATAGGAAAGCTCCTGTCCATCTTGGGGTTGGCAGACAGTGCCTCTTTTTGTGGGCAAGGGCAGGAGGGAAGAGCTAAAAACCATAAACTGGGGCTCCAAAGAAGGGAATGGGTCTGAGGCTCAGGTCTTGGACAGAGCCATGACTCCCGTCTTGAGTTGAACTTCTGGGAGCTTGGAGGTCCCTGGTGGGGAAGCTGCGGAAGACTTGGGCTCCTAAGCAGGCAGTTGGTTGCCAGAGAAGCTCTGGCTTCTGGGGAGAAAGAAGGCTGGGGGAGGGAAGTGTGTGTCTGTGTGTGTGTGTGTGTGTTTGTGTGTGTGTGGTTTGGAAAGAGCCTCCGGTGGAGGTCTCCTGTGGCTCACTCGCACTGTGGGGAGCATGGCCTTCGCAGTCCCTCACTCTTGTGCTTTCTGCCCTGGGATACCCCTGACCTTTGAAGATGCCCCTCACCCCTCGCTTCTGTAGCCAGACACCTTCAAAGGAAAGGTGCTTTTCTAGAAGCCGAGGGAAAAGCCTGGAAGGAGCGGGGCCCAGGGACGCTGCAAGAGGGGCCTCAGGGGCTGCCAGGGCCCAACACTCTGCCTGCTCCCCTCCCGCCATGGCTGGTAACCTCTCTCCCGGGTAACCTGGTGGCTGGCAGCCACTGAATAGCGACCCGCTGGCTGCCGCCGACCATACCATTCAAACTTCCAACAGGGGAAGGTGAGCGCCACGGGGCCACAGAGGCAGTAAAGTCCTCCCTCTGCGTCTTCCCAGAGTCCCCCAGCCCTGAGAAGGCTCCAAGGAGACAGGCTGGAGCGAGGCGGTGGGAAGGCGGGGGGGCGGGGGGGCATCCTAGAGTCTCTGGACAGCTCCCTTCTCCCTCTTCCCAACCCAGTTGCCATCCCTTCTCCCTTAGCTATCCCCTCCCCCAAGGCAGAGCCCGAACTCTTCCAGACAAAGCCAGGTCCAGCTGGGGAGTGACGGGGAGGCCACTCTGCTGGCCAGGCTGACCGAGGGCTGCAGGGCACAGCAGAGCCTGGGCAGGGCTGGGGTCACAGGTACTGCCCAGGGCTCTTCGGGCCTCCCTTCCACAGCTGAGAAGACGTCTCCACAGAGCTCGGGACAGCTGGGGTCTGGCTCTGAGGTCAGTGCTTGGGGGACTGCAGGAGAAGGCTTGGAGAGGGAAGTGTGGTGGAGACCCTTGCTGAGGGACTCCTGGGAGAATGTGAGGGTGCGTTCAGACCTAGGCAGTCCTCTGGTTCTGTAGAGAGTGGAAACAAGGCCCAGTAAGGGGCAGGGACCAGCCCGAGGCCACACAGCAGTCTTCTCTGCCCACAGCAGGTCCTGCTCTGTGGAACTCCAAGGGAAGAGGAGGCTTCTACACTGAGCTTGCAGAGATATGTCCAGAGCAGGGCCTGCTGGTATACCCTGGTCCCAGTGGGAAGGGAGTGGCTTCAACTGCCCTCCAGATGATTCCTGGCCTTGGTCCCGGCAAGGCGTCCGCTCCCAGCACTTGCTGGCCTTGGCTGGTTGGTCAGTAGAGGGTGTCAAGGGGCCTGGCATCTGGACTTGCCTCGTGCTCCAGGAAGGGTGTCGTGTTGTTTTCAAGCACTTAAGATCGTTGCCACAGGAACTACTCAGATGCTAATTACAACTCCACTTAACTTTTTTTTTTTTTTTTGAGACAGAGTGTTGCTCTGTCGCTCAGGCTGTAGCGCAGTGGCATGAATC